CTATAGTTCTGAACACTCAGTCTGACACAACAGTCCTCCCAGGAGATAGATTAACATACCAAAAAGCTGGAGTAGTCAGGGCTTGGTTAAGAAGCATTCTTTGATCTTGCACAATTCCAAAAAGCTTAATTATTCAAATGTTATTTATAATAATACAATGGGATGCTGGCTGGGAAATGCATTTGCATACATTAGATCTTCAAGATAACCAGAGAGTCAGGATTTTTACTTGCCACACGCCACACAAAGGCACATGATCTGCCAACAGAGAGCACTCACCAGGCTCATGTGTCTTTACATCCATGGGGATCTCTGCTTACCAGTATGACCTTTGCTTAAAATTATGCAGACAGCAGTAAAAGAGAATAAACCAGATAAATTGCCTTAAAAAATACTGGTCCACAAAGACAGTCACCTCATTTTGGAATATTACTACTTTTACGTCTCACACCTACACCATCTTGTTAATGTTTTAAAACCCACTTTCCCATTCAAAGTTCTTGCACTTCTCTTAAACTAAATAAATCTGCTTTCCAAATGGTTAAGGAGGGAGAACATGGACCATTTACAAGCAGTGCACATGCAAAGCAGTTAGAGCAGAGGAGAGGGAATTAGGGTGACTGCACTGGAAAACCTGGTCACCTTTCTAGACTGAGTTTTACAGGTGACTCAATGCAACCTTAAAATTTACGAAATTTACTAAAACTGCAAGGAAAAACATGGGCCAGGGTCAGGCTTTGCCCCCTGTAGCACAGAGAACGAAGTGTGCTGCTGCCAGAGGGAGCAAATGTGACAGCAAATGGGGCCACATTTCAAACACTGAACAGAAATTAGGCTTTAATGAGCTCAGAAATATCTCAGTTCAGCCAATGAAACAAATTTTTCCCTCAATAAAAAATCTATGTTTAACCAAGGAGGAACAAGTTACTGGGCTAAAATCAAACACTGTCAGGGTATTTAAAATATTTTAATACTTCAAGATGCAGGGGAGTAAGGAGGAGAAAAAATTTGGTGACAATTGGAAGAGACAGACACTGCAGGTTGCTGTAAGTGCAGATAACCAGTACCCAGTCTGCAAAGTACTGAGCGGTGTCACTGTAAATAACCACTCCATCAACAGCCATCAACAGAGAGAAAGCTTTGGCAGCTGTAGCAAGTGTAAACCTCATCCTGTGGGTCACTAATGCTAGAACCTCTGTGGTCTCCATCCAGGAAAGCAGGTCTGGATGGCAGCAGTTCAAAGCCAGCATCCTGCCCACATCATGTTCCTCAGATGCATAAGTGATGTATTAGTGAGATATCTGGGGAGAAATGCAGGCATGGATGTGCCAGCTGAGATTAAATTTAGTTTATTACAAGCAGCTCGTGTTGAGAAAGTTTTACAACTGCCAGCAGTTTAAGCAGGATGAGTATAAAGATTTTGACAAGCCTTTCCAACTATTTGCAAAAAGGGTCTTTCAAGCCAAGAGAGCAGATAAGAATAGCACAAAGGGAAGCACTTTGTCACATGCCACTACCTCTCAAACCCACCTTTAAGTTCAGGATTAGTTTAGAATCACAGGGCAGTGCTCTTCTGCCTCTATCAGTAAGAGCTATTTAGGAGTCTCCAAGCGTCACACATCCTTTTCCCCCACCTTTCCTGTTTGAATGGACTCAGCCAGCAGCTCCCTCACTGACAGGTACTTTATTTCTCAAGGAATCTGTGAGTTACCACAAGTGTTACTTTCTAAATAAGCCTAAAGTTTGGTTTGTATAGCTGAGATGGAAACCGGAAAATCAGTACATAAAAATTTGTGAATGAAATGGTGTTGTATGTACCAGGAAAGGGTTTGTGTCAGTAGAGACAAAAGCCTGAACTGCTCTAGTTCCTCTCTCCCCTACACTCAAAGCTTTCTAAAATGCAAACTGCATACATTTCTGTAAGCTCAGTTCAATATTCGTGGCTTTTGATTCTCTGAAACTGTCTTCCAGTGCTTGCCCTGGCATTATTCTCACTAAATTTTTCAATTCCCTTGATTGTCCCATTAGCAATTAACTGATGCCAAAAGAAGCATTTTCTGCTTTGTGTTTCAAAAGCACGAAACAGTTTGTGAGGCAGAGAATTCTGTGGGGGAAAAAGAAAAAAGGAACATAAAACTGTGCCTTTGGCCTTGACTTTTCTGGTTTGGATTTTTTTTTTTTTCTTTCTTTCCAAAGACCAGGCAGGTAGAGAAAAGCAGCAAACTGAAGTGGTTACTCACAGTATGTTTGTCTGGGGCGGGATCTCGGGGATGGTTTCCAGCATCAGATGCATGCATCGCACTGTAGTCCTGAAGCACAGGCAGCGACTGGGGCAGGAGCAGGAGAAGCCAGGCAAGAGGAGAAAACACAAAAAGCCTCCAAGAGCTGAAGGTTTCATCAGCATGGTGTTTGCTGGAGTGCATTTGCCTCGATTCTGAGCTGCAGGGAGCTGACCAAAAAAAAAAAAAAAAAAAGTTTCCCAGCCCTGAGGTCCAGGAGGAGGGGACTCATCCGCATGTGTTTGCAATTAAATTAAGGCAGTTTGACAGTCCAACCGCCCACCCCCTCTGCCATTATGTACATCACTGAAGACCAGACTGTCCCCACCCCTCTTTAATTGTGGCGCTGAAATATAAACTCTTGGTTTTGATTTATTTTCGCCTTGTTGCTTCTTTCGAACAGCGAGTTAACTCCTCACGTCCTCCTCGGGCATTCGCCTGACACCAGAATGCACCTTCATGGACAACGACCAAATAATGATCCTGTGCTTCCAGGGCAAGCTGGGATGCAAAAGATTCAGGGTCAAGGTTTTCATGTCCAATTTTTTTGCCTGTCTCTTATTACATGGAGTTACAACATCTAGCAAAAACACGTTTCCAACCGTCGATGAGAGCATGGAGTGCTACAGATAAGTGATTTTAAAAGGGAGATCAAGAACAGAGATAAATAACCTGCAAATAAAGACAAGTCCCCATCCTGCAATCTGTAAAGTTTCTTACACAGAGTAAAAGCCGATTCGTTTCAAAGACATTTTGCCAAATACAATTTCTTTCTACAGGGATGCCACTAGGAAAAAATGTCAGGATTTTGGAGAAATTAAAGGCAACTGAGGGATGAAAAGGGAAAGAAACACTGAAATCAACTGAGTTTGAGCTGTAGGAAATTAAGTTCTCTGTTTGTTTCTCCCACTGCATAATAAAATTGGGATGCAAAAGGCAGGATTTGTTCCCATTTTAATTAATCACCTTTGTAAAGAAGATTAGACTGAAACCATCTTGTCTTTAGGTTTGCAGTTATTACTATACAAGATCTTAAATGTGTGAGTTCAGGATGAGGGAGGCACTAACACACATTAGGATATAAAGGTACCTGAAGAAGTACAAACATGGCATCAATCCACATTACCTGGATGATCAAATGAAGGTTTCCCATGAACCTGCACATCTGCTTTAGACTGTAATCTAAAAAATAATTAATGTGACAGAGGAGTATTAACAAAAGTGACATTTATACCTTCTTGGTTCTCTTCTCCCTTCAGATTCTCTGTCACCTGAGCATTTGGGGAGTGCGTTGGGTTTGGGGTTTAACCTAAAATTTCATGCCATAGAAGGTAAAATAACTATTTTTTTCCCAGCTATACAAGAGCATTATACTGCAGGTTTCCTGCATCCTGTCCTCAGGCAATCTGCTATTTGTTTGCCGGGACATCACTTGGAAATCTAAGCAAGTTTGCTGAACTCATCTGCTCCCCCTGTGCACCCGACTCATGGTTTTGGGCAGAGTGTCCTCTAGCGGCCACCCAACCCAACCCTGCCTTACAGAAACGGGTTGTAAAAGGCCAAATTACCAGCTTTAGCCTTTAACCAACAACTGGGAGCTGAGATCAGAGTGCTCCGTGTGAATATGACAGCTTTTAATTCCAATTTGAGATGCCAAGTCCATCGGAGTCACACCCTCCACGCGCACCAGACAACGCACGTTGTGTTCAAGCCTTCGTGACCTGAGTTCTGTTGATTGCTCCCCACATCATCTCTTTCTAAAACACACCGGGCTCTGTCAGGACAGGGCAGCACAGCTGCTTGGGAGCTGCTCAGTAAGGAAGTATTTCTAGGAAAATAAACAAAACTGCTCTCTCCAAACCACGCCCGGGTGTTTTGGAGCCGTCATTTTCCCTGGCACATCCGGCCGCTTTGCAAATGTGGGGCTTTTGCCTCCTGCTTCTGTTACCTCTTGGAGCATAAACTCTGAGCTCTAAATCAACCCCCTGCAACAACAACAACAACAACAACAAAATCCCTCCTAGGTTTATTTATATTGCAACAGGAGAGCTGGGCCAGGCCTCAGTCAGGTTTCCTGATATATATTGTCTGGAATTGTATTTCAGAACTCAGCTGTGCCATGGGGGGGCAGCTTCAGGAAGGATTTGCCCACTACTTTGTTGGCATGGGATCTTCAGCCAAGTCAGCAGATTTAACAGCAGCCACAGGGAATAATCTGAGTGCAAAAAGGCAAGTTCTGCAGCCCCCACATTTACTTAGAAGCAGATCTTCCCTTGAACTTGAACCGTACCTCTCCTTATCTCCCCTTCACGACAAATGGGATGATTGTGAGATGTTATGAAACACCAGCAATCCCAGTCCCCTTCCTCTCACATTAATTTATCTGATTTTCTGTAGACATGAAAAATTGTTTAAAAAGGAGTGTGCAGCTCTGAGCAAGAACCAGAAATTAACTCCTGAGCAACTGGAATTAAAGTTAACCCTTGTGTTCCACGCTCCAGCCTTTCCAGCCTCTTCCACACAGGCTTTTCAAACCTGCAGAACCCAAGGAAGTTTGGGGGTTTCTCTCTGGTGTGCTTCTTTCCCCCCTCCCACCCTTCTTTGTTTTATTTTTAACTAGAAATTCTGTCCCAGTAGAAAGATTTCCCTCAGGGGATCTACCCCCTCACTACATCCCAGGGGACTGTGACGTTTTACGTTTTGCAATGAAGTGAACATAAACATCATCTGACAAATTTAATTTCCTCGATACCATTTCCATGACACATCCATGGCTTTCCAAAGCAGAAAAGGATTTTCTTTCAGCAAGCATCACGTGAAGGAAAACATTAACATCAAACTAATCTCCTGTTATAGCTGGTAAAGGGACATTTATCATACACACAGATGACAGGAAGAAACACACAGACAGGCAATTATCCTATGGAATAAAGGTTAACAGATTCATTTAATTAGCAGCAGCTGTATTTGCTGTTGTGACCAGTTTCCTACCACAGCTGAAGCCAAAATATTATTCTCAATACCAGAGAAATGAAAGCTTTGAACACCACCTCTCAAAAATCTGCATTAATTAAGCACTGAAGCAGAGCCCAGAGGACAAGAGGGGAGCTGCAGGTCAGAATGCATGGAACAAACTCCAGACATGTTTGGTTTAGGCAGTCCCTTGAAGTGCAGAAATGAACTGAATCACCTCTGGGTATCTGCTGTCTACAGGTCAATAAGCCAGGTAAGTGAATTCACTCTTTAACTGTTCTGATGCATTAAATCCAGATCAGTGGTGTGTGTACTGATTCCAAAAATCATCTTGCAAATCTGCATTACATAAAGGTTTGGAACTCGTGAGCTGGGCAGGTTTCTTCTGAGGAGATTTTATTCTGAGGAGTTCATCTAAAACTGTGCACCTGCACCAATTATTTTTTCTAGTGTTCTAATGTCTTAACCTTCAATTATGGAAATAAGTACTTATCTACAAAGTATTCTAAGCACAACATGATGCAAAGCCACGTTAAGAAGGCTAAAAAGTCTTTACTGAATTTATTGATACAGAAACACTTATTAATAAAGTTCAAATTGTGTAACACTTCTGCATGCCTCAGGCCAATTTAACTCTAGTTTCAACACAGAGATTTTTCAGCTTACACACTCATGATTAAAGCAGCTTGAAGTTCAGTTCTTTTGCAAATTTACTGCAGGATTGAAACCTAAAAAGAGTCACAATAAAAGTGATAACTACTTAGAACACAAAAGGAAACAAAGCAGGTACAATTCCTAGACAGTTTACAGACCATACAAACTCAGCTCTAATACAGCTCCTCTGCTAGAAATGCTACACAACTACAGTGCAAGTGCTTGTGCACAGGGAAAATGTATTTACAGTTCCCCCTTATTTACAGGCTATAAGCAATACTATTTCACAGTTATATTACACATAAAATTTCTACTATGTGTTTGTTTGGACCTGTGGGGTTTTTTTTTGGACAAGGGGACAATCCGACAACCTAGAACATAAATTTCCTGTATATATATATTTATTTATTCAACTTCATCCAGGAAAAAAATAGCAGTATTTATGCATCTTATAGAAAGCTACAAAAATGTAATAAAAAAGGCAAATCTGGTGAAAAATCCAATAAAATATCTTTTACAACTGGGGCTGGGATGGGGAATAAAAAAAAATCAAACAGGGATAAATGAAAGATAATTCTCCCTCAACTGATCAGCTCCAACAGAATCTCAGGAAGGCCTACTAGTAAGAACCTGAAGTTTAATGTCATTTTTAAAGGAACTCTTATTTAAAAGTTTCATAATTAAACCAAAGGATGACCTGATAGCCAAAAGCAGGAGGCACCCTGAACTACAGAGAGGTGTGGAAATTGTGCCATAATACACAAAGGCACCTGGTATGACACCTACTAAGCAGAAATGTCTAACAAATACAGGGGCCATAGACTTTGTGGGAGTACAGAGAATAATGACACAAAGATTAAGCCTCTATTTACCACCATATTCAGGATATTCATCTGTGGAAACAAATCCACTGCAGTTGCTGGAATTACACGGTGGGTACATGAACGTTTGCAGGAAACCATCAGCTCAGTGGCCACAGAACTGCCCCACTTCAAACAGAGAAAGAAAAACCTGAGGGAGCAAGCTAATTTGGGGTTCCATTTAGACCAGAAGTGGAGACTTAGGAAACCAGAGGCAAAACACAGCCTGTGCCTGTGTTATGTGCCAGCAGCCACATGACAGAGCATTAGGAGATGATATTCTCAAAGATACACAGAACTCCTCTAAAGCAAGGAAGAGTTCTTCACTTCAGGCTCAGGCATCCAAGAGTTATCCATTTATTTTCAAAGCCACTCAGACCTTTGAAGCACTACTTACCGTGAAGCAAGTTGTGCAACTTGGGACCATTAACCGAAAAGTCGGCGTATTTTTGGCAAGACAAGTCTTTCTTTCATTCCTCCTCAGAGAATGAGGAGAGAGCACACACACACACACAGAAAAAAGATACCAAAGTGATACCAACTCTAGTGGTTTTGATGGGGCAATGCCTTAACACAGCTTCACCACCTACCAAGAGGGGGCTTTTCATCCCCCCCAAGCTTTAGGAGTATTTCACATCAACACAAACTCAAGTTCCTTTCCAGCCCTTACCACTTTAGGCAGATTTTTCAAACAGGCTGAACCAAGTAAAACTCTTCTAAACATGGTATTTTTTATCCACAGACACTGTGGACTCCCCATCCCTGGAACTATTCAAGGCCAGGCTGGATGGGGATCTGAGTAACCTGGTCTAGTGGAAGGTGTCCCTGCCCCTGGCAGGGGGTTGGAACAAGATGGTCTTCAAGGTCCCTTCCAACCCAAACCATTCTGTGATACCATGGAATCTCCTTCCACCACCATGACAGGAAGACTTGGGAATAAAAATTAGAGCTCACATTCACAGAACTACAGAGTGTCAAGTCATTCCATGTGAGCCTGTTAAAAACACGTCTTGGTTGCTGCAGGAATCAAACAACTGTACCAAGCTGTATTCCAATCACCTCACCTTGCCACAGCAGGGGCACACACAGAACACCTAAAAACTGCACCAGTCTGCCTTTCTAGACTGTTTCCAGGTTGTAGATACTCTCCAGAAAACTATATTGGGCTTATTTACCTCTCAGGCTGGTGCTCTGCGCCTCACTCTTTCAGCCCAGATGATCACACTTCTCTCACAGGACAGCAAAACCCCCAGATTCTGCTTTCACAGTCAGTTTTCACAAACCCACTGCTCTGCAGTTCCTCTCTACCCTCCTCCCCATTCAGAATTACTCTGTAAAATTTCAGAGATCACAGTCCCAACTTTGACAACCTCTGCATCCTGTCAAAGCCAAGCAAGCTTTGCAATTCCTTACTTGCCTCCATCGCTTTAAAAAGAAAACACCAAAAAAAAAACCCCAAAACCACAAAAACCCCCAACTCATTTACTAGAACAGGTGTTTCCCATTAAGAAAACCAGTATTCTGTAAAACAATTTTGCTCTTTACTGAAAAATTAGATATAGTTTAAAAGTAAAACAGAGCAACCAAAGAGGAGCTGATGCTTTCCTTCTCATTCAAAACCTGGATGCCACAAGGGTAATGCCAAAAATTTCCTTCCTTTCTGTAAAAGTTGTGCTTTTTCACACTACTGGAAGAAACTAGATTGGCCAGGTCAGTTTTTCCTAACAATCTTCATCCTCCATTAAACACACACCACGATAAACACATGGCAGGTTTAGTGGGAGAGAGCACAGACAGGAAAGGTCTTGGGGGAACTGCTTAAGAGTTTTTCAAAACTGATATTCGGTAGAGCAGCTCTGAGATTTTTAGAGTATCTCTGTGCAGTTAGTTTCAAGGGAATTAAATCCTCCTTTCCGTAAGCAGCTGAGCATTTCACCAACTTGCCTCCTAAGGAATCCCTGCTGTAGGATAAAACTATAGCACACAACTGAGAAGGACGAAGAAACTCAAAAAAGCTATAATGTTGAAGTTTACAGCAGCCACATTCCCCAGCCTACTGCCTTGGGTGGTCACATTTGCAGGCAAGCAAGTGGTGTACATTTGTCAAGCCCTAAGTAGTACTTTTATTTCCTGCCTACTTCCCACTTCCCAGAAGAAGGAAACTACTTCTCCCTGTAATAAAGCAAGTAATACTTCAAGGGATCGGGCAAAGGCAGACTCAAGACCTTTTCCCTCAAAAAGTTTACAGGAGGGTCTGGCTTTAGTTCAGAGGGTTTGGTTTCTTCCTCTTCCTGCCTCTCCTCCTCGATGTCCTCGCTGTTGTTGTTGTCATCTGACGGGCTGGAGATCCGGCTGGCGAAGACCTCTTTGTCCAAGAAAACAATCGTTTCCATGCGCCGGCGACGGACGCGCCTCCGTTTAAATCTCGGGGGGTTCTTCAGCCCGTTCCCGGTTTTGCTCATTGTTTCCTGATGAATTATTTTCTTAATGGTTCCCCGGATGGCGATGCGAGCCAGGTCCTGCAGGCTGCGAACGGCCACGGGGGCTGGAACGAAACAAAACCCCGTGAGCAGATACGGAGAAACTCCCCCCTGCTCCCTCCCCCCTCCCTGCAAAAGCACTCACAGGAAAAGTTCTGTTTGCTCAAATTAAATCAGGCCATTTGAAATCCCTGCTGCGATTACACAAACAGCTCTATTCAGCCCCTGTCAACTCAGATAAACCGCGCTGCAACTTTCCAAACAAAATTTAATTGCGCGTTTGTCTCATTAAAAAATTTCCCCGTTTCGATCTCAAGTCCTCAATTATTTTAAGATACACATCTTAAAGACTGTAAGAATGCAGACTTAGCAACCAGAACTGTGACTGTTTAATTACTTAGAAAAAGCTACTTTCCTACTGTAGATAGCCAGATATGAAGTCTATTTAACTCTTCAATAAAACGATTTTTCTATTGAGCTGTTACTTCAGCTTTGCCAAGTTCTGCATTTATAAAACACAAGTACTATTTATGCTCTTTAAAAACTGCTTTAGACTTAGTGGGAGAAGACAGGATGGAAACCATTTTGTAGAAGTAATTACAGAAGCATACAATAAGTTACTGTACTGAAATACCTCCCACATTAATGTTTTGGAAGACTGTCCTGTCTTCTGCACTTATTTGCTGCCAGCCCATAAATACACAACATAACTCACAGAGCATAAAGAAAAAAAAATGTACTGATGCACACACATCCAAAACTGAAACAAAAAAAAATCACTGTCTTCTACCAACAAGTAAGCTTTCCTGGGAGCTGAAGGAAGCAGAAAAAAATTACATGTAATTTATGTGCAGGTCTCACTATAAAGCGACCTACTTACAAAACATGAAGAAACATGCATTTACTGGACTTTCCAGCACCGTATGGATTGTTTCCCGAGCTCCTTTCTGTCATGCAGACACCTTTCCAGAATAAGACCAAAGCCTGGCTAATCTCTTTATGAAGGTATCTCTGTCTTCAGAGGCCTCTCAGCCCTGAAATCCTAATCTAGAGATTGAGGCCACTGATACAACCTGCACTTCTAACAGCCAACCAAGGACTGCACAACTTGTGCCCCTCAAGCATTCCAGCTTTAGGATTGTAGGAGAATTAGAAACCTTTTGGGTTAAGGCAGGAGCAAACCAGCTGATGGGAATCTGAGGAGTCTCAAGGACTAAGTGTTTTGAGAACATGACAAGGACTGAGTATCTACAGAAATGAGAAAAACAGCACCTGCAGACGGGAGTTTGAGTTGGGCCTGCCAGGAGACATGTAAAAAGAAGTGTTGTGGTTAGTTTTAGAAGGAAAAGAATTTAGAAAATAAGATATGTTAGCTAGCCAATAATAATCGTGTGAACAGTGTGTGTTTTGTGTGTGTAACCAATAATAGGTTAAGTAGTCAAATATGTGGTAATTATTGAACTGTATAAAAGTAAGTGTAATTTCCAATAAAGATGGAGCTTCTGAACGTCATATTGGTGTGTGTGGAGCTTCCCTTGGGTCTCACACATGTTTACACAGGATAATTCTGAACTGCTGTGGGGTGAGAGCCTTTGAGTGGAGGTTTGTTCACAGGTCCTGCCTGTAGCATGACAGTACATAATTCAGGACTGAATTGTCTGCACGTGCAAAAACAATGACCAAGCATCCCTCAAAGTCCAGGTACAATTTCACAAGAAATCATTTGTATTTGGAATGATGGTCTAGTGGAAGGTGTCCCTGCACATGGCAACAAGATGATCTTTAAGGTCCCTTCCAACTCAGGCCATTCTACGACCCTAAAGATTTAGAATCTATTTTATGCAACTCCCATTCTTGCACGAGACAGACAACTGTTCAAAAAGGAAGCACTTGGAGCAATTTTCCTTGAAAGGATTCCCAGGGATGTCACAGCTCACAGCCAAACAGCAGAAGAAACCTCCCCCGTGCTCAGGAATGTCTGTACTCACGCAAGTGAACAAGCCTTGATTTTCCCGAGTCTGCGTGGTTTGGCTGAATCAAAGGAGCAAAAGAAACAGCAAGAATCTTCTTGGTCTCCCAGGCAGAAGGGCCAGTACGAGTTATCTTAGTCAACTAAACCAAAACAAGGAGATTATTGTTCATTGTGTGAACTACATTGAGATTTTTGTACAAAAAAAAAAAATGAACAAACAACTTTTCTGCCTTGACAAGTGGTTACAGACTGGAAGTTGCAACATTAAAAGGTGATAAGGAGAAACACTGGTGGTTTGTTGTTTTTTTTTTTTAAATTGAGAACTTCTTGCAGGATTAGCCCCAAGTAATTGTTGGAACAGAGCAAAGGGCACTGGCAGTTTGGGATGCTGCTTTCCCAGACCTTCCTCCATTCTGGGCCAGAACTGTTGTGTCTGATGCCTGAGAAAATTCAGTCACCAATGAACATTCACTCCTGAAGAGGTCTGCAGATCACTGGATTTTATGTTCCAGCCCAAATCTCTTACATTAAGAGATGCACTGCACACCATCTTCCTGGGAAGGAACCTTGCACCCTGCTCCTCCGTACCCTGACAAAGAGAAAAGGCCAGACACCTACATCTCAGTCCATTAAAACAGCACACCTTTACACCAGAGAGATAAACTGAATTGCAATCTTGAGCTCACTCATGAGGCACTTGCCCACTTTTTACTAAAAAGAATCCACTGACACTTGTAAATAGAGACATCTTGCAGGCTCTTTCACAAGCCAGTCAGGGATATGTAAAATGTTGTGTTTTGTCATCAAGCACAACACTAGATTATGTAATTGAACAAAGCCCTGTTTACATTTTCTGCAGCATGAAAGTAAAACTGCAATTAACAACAGACTTCAATATGTGAAAGATTGGTAGAACTCCAAATTTCTTAAATATTATGAATCTGCAGAGTTCAGTTTCCACTCACAGTGAAAACTGGTGCACTCAGTGCTTTCTTCAACCTGCCACAAGGGCAAGACAAAGGAGCAGCTGTTGACTAAATCAAGATCAGAATTAAGAATAACTGAATGAGAAACAGGAGAAGAAAGGCACTCAACCTTCTCTTCCAGAGGCATGACAAGAATTCCCCCAACTTTCAAGAGGTTCTTCATGTAGTCCTCGTGTTCCTTCTGTACTCCAGCACCACAGTAAACACGGTCATACTGAGTGCAGTCCGGGGAGATCTCTAGACAATTGCCAGTAACAAAGGATGGCTCACAAAATTCGAATCTGAAAGTGAAGATGACTTGTATCAGACAAGAATATTACAATTTATCCAATGAATCATTTTCGCAACTATGAAATAACTAAACTACGAAAAATGTTTGAAAAAACCCCAGTTTTACAGGATTTCTCCTCCAAAGCCCACCTATTCTAGACATTATTGTGACAGAACACAGGTAGAAGTCTCAAAACCGCAGAACAATGAGGTCAGAATTCATGGATTAAACTCTCCAAAGGATAAGGATGCATAATTTCCCACTTGAGATGCAGGGAACTCTTCAGAACAAGCTATTTTTAGTCACCTGATGCTGACTCAGTCATAATATGCAAATATAAATATCAGACCTCTGACTTCAAACAAGAAAGTCTTTTAAGGACTGCACCTGCATTTATTGTTGCATTTTCAAAAGCTGGCTTTTCAGATGTGGGGAGCTATCACCTGATGCTACAGAATTACGCTGTGCTGAAGCCAAAGGAATTTTGCCCTTAGTTTCAAAAGAACTGTAATTTTACCCTTAATAAAAAAAGAAAGACCTTTTGCCCACAGCATTTCTGACTCAGTGTAAAAGAAAAGTGAATGATTCAATAATGCCTCTGCTTTTCTTACATGCTCAAAAAATACATCAATTTTAAGCCCTACATTTATGAAGTTGTACAACACATCCATTCTTCTACTGGTATCTTGAGTGGCAGCTCAGTATAGCACCTATTTATTCCTAAACACTTCCTGAAGCTTTCTGGTTTTGCAAAGCGTGCTGGACATTCAGAGCAGCCAGTGAACAGTTCCTGCACACGGTGTTCCAACAGCACAACCCAGCAGACATCACTCAGCAATGCCAGCTTTCCAGTCATGATGATTCCTGAATTCAGCTCCCTTTTGCTCCATAGCTATATTTGTCTGGAGAGAGAAAAAAAGTCTTCCTTAAAACATTCTATTCAAACAATGGCAACGTGACCCTGGAAAAGCACCCAGTCGAGCACCATCCACGCCAAAAACTGTCAGTCCGCTGCCAACATCCAGAAAATACAGCCCCCTCACCAGCAGCTTTCCAGTACGGCAGGAGCAGCACAAGGCTGAGCAGTCTAAAATCCAGCATGTAATGACTTTGATTTTCTTCCTCCCAGGAGAGGAGGGTATCAGGTATCCACAGATGTTTCGCTGCCCTGTTTGAACAAACCGTGCAACGGATCCAAAAATATGACAGCTACAACTTTTACTGCTGAGGTTACTATTGGCAGTGGTTATCTTGCCTGGAAAGTTATTAATTGTGACAGCAGCAAAATGGAGGTTCTAAGGAAGCACATAAATCAAATCCCAAGCAGTTTTAGTACCAACTTAATCATCTTAGAACTACCTCCCTATTTTAAAAAGCCGTTTTTCTTCTTTTCAGATAAAACACATTAGACCCACCCCAGAAATCAGTTCATATTCTTCTCATCACCACGCACGCTCCCAGACCACGAGAAGAACTAGCGCTGTTAATTGCAAGTTTCGAGCTGTTACTGCCAGTGCATTTCAAAACAAGCAAACTTCCCACAGCAAACATTTCAGAGACTCCCCCACAACGCACACGGGCTTCGGAGGTCACACACTGCAGCTCAGCAAGCCTAAGGAGCCTGAATCCTCAGATTACCCTGAATCCAGAGGGGCCTCACGGGAGCCAAGAACTGAAGCCAAACCAACAGAAATTATTTCCAAAGGGGCACTTTGCACTCACTTGTCGAAGCTGTCGCTTGTCTTTATGAAGAAGTCCAATTTCTGCTTGGCGTACTCGATCACGTCCGAATGGAGCTCCACGCCGTGGTTAACACCAAAGGGGCCTGCAAACGTGGAACACCAGGGTGACTGGTAACAGGCAACACCACAAAATCCAGCAGCACTAATACAGTTCGGGTGAATTCCTAGCACAGATTTTCCCCTGAGTGTCAGACAGTGTTTGTGTAGGGTCAGCTCTCTCAGCACCACAATGGGAACTGCAACCCTGTACCTGCAGTTTCTGGCAGCAAATGAGCCTGTCTTGCACAATTGATTCTGAACCATTTGCTCTGAACTATGCAGGAAACTTCTCCATAGCAGGGAAGCACTGCTGCCATTGCTGTAAAACTGGCCACCTGGAAAAAAAAATTCCAAGGCAGAACAACTCCCTGCATGTTTTAATACTTCTCTAAAAAAAATTTTCATATTATTTTTGCACCCCCTTGTTGATATGCTAAAGTCTTTGCAAAGGAACCAGGAACAGTCATCATCCACTGTACCTCACTTAACAGCAAAATAAACTGGAAGTAACAACGTAAGTTGTTCAGCACTTGTGCTTTTTATGCAGAATTGACAGGGTAATTTTTGCAAAAATTCAAAAGAATGTAAAAGCCCTGCAGTTACATATTGGTATCCTTGGTAATCTCAAAAAGCCTAGGAGAAAACCACAAATGGGAGATGGGATTGAGACTCTACCCTGAGAACAAACATGTCAGCAGTTAAAATTCTTGACACTCACTAAAGGGAAGTTTGTACCCTACAGCCATTTGCTATCTATCCTGGCAGCTACAGCTCTCACTGAAACACCTCAGGGTGAATTGCACATCTGCACTTGGGTGATTTGCTCTGTGTCACTGCAGATGTGGTCACAAAATCCGTTTTGCTGCACCCGGTGTTTTCCAGAGAATATTCCCATCTGTCTGTTAGTAAGTGTCAAAAGTGGACTTCAAACATGCCTCAGTCTGAACAGCACAGTGTGAACACAAACAGGCACAGTGCAGGTGTAGTTACAGGTTTCTGTGGACATGCTTAATTCTGGTTTCAGCTTTGTACTCCTGATCCTGATCTGGGGTCATCCCTAAGGGGAAACTAACCCAAGTTCATGTCCAGTCCTGCAGGAATCAACTACAGCCACCTCTGGAAACACATCTGTGCCTGTTCTGATCTGCCACAGAAATCTGGATCCCATCTGGTTCCAGAGAGAAGGTTGCAAAAATCCTGATAAACAACCTGGATTAATGCACTCTTTACTTTCCCAGCTATCTTTTAGTTCCATTACTTGAGGAATGATTCATTGCCTATTTCAAAACATGTTTTTCGAAATTCTAACACAAACAGTTAACGTGATTGAAAAGGTATTTACCCAAGATGAGTCCAACCATAGAACTCAGATAACCAGTGCCACTGCCAAGATTCAGAAATGACAGCCCTGGTTGCAGATCCAAAGCTTCCATCACCTCAGAGTAAATGCAGGGTGCTGAGAGATGAATATTCCCATGCTTCCACGCCAAGTCCTTGTAGGCATTGTCTTTGAACTCTTCCAGGTAGTAATCTGCTCGATCAATGGCTCGGAAGGCCTGTTCCACCAGTTCTGTCCTGATGTACTGTGCCTCCTTCAGGTTATCAATTAATTCATCATTATCTTCTCCCGCACTCACTGCGCCTCCCATCTTCAGCAGCCTTCTGTAGACACTAAAAATAAAAGAATAAAGGAGGGTGAGGTACAGAACGTGCACTTCAACACTAAATGACGCTGCTGTATACGTGAAGTACTTTGAGAGAGACCTTTATGTGCTCCAAGGGCCACAAGCACCAGGACAACGTCACCAGCAGCACTCCCAGCCCCCATTCCAACAATGGAAAACAAAATGCAGCAGATCTGGCATCCAGTACCTGACACTGGGGGTGGGGAGGGGGGGAAATCACAATAGGCAATTTCAGTGTGCAAGTCCTGTCTTCAAACACTCCCAACGGTTTTGCCAGCACGTCATATTTTCCACTGCACCCTTTTATATAAAGGATTATTCCAGCTCCTGTGCTTGTTGTAGGTCATCTTTCACTGCAAGCCCAAACAACAGTGCGAGTTCGGCCTGTCTGTCAGAATTCTCCAGCGAGCAGACTTTCTATCTCTAACAGCATCAATTAAGAGACAAAGACACAGGCAGCAAATTCAGAAGAGTCTCAAATTACGTTTTCTTTGAACATGCATCAGGATGTTGATTTCACAGAGGTTAAAAAAAAACCCCAACAACTCTGACCCATCAACCTTGTTTACTTTAGCAAATGCAGTTTCACACAGCTCATCTCCACAGCTTGAGCCACCACCATCACTAAAGCACTTAATGATACAGAGAGCAACTGCAGAGAGAATTTCCACTGCAGCCTGTGGAATTTCTTAGGTCCTCTTAAGCCCTAGATGAGCTCACCTTCAATTTGGTAACTCCTGAGTGACACAGATCTCTGAATTGCAAACACTTCTGACTTCACTGACATGATCATGGGCCTACTCAGGCTTGTTGGTGTGGGGTAAGGAAAGAAAACACTTTCCTTGACTGTGCATTACACTACACATGGTTATAATGCTTCACGTAGGTAAACAGCTATAAGTTTTAAAGGAAAAGGTATAGGGGGAGAAGAACCCAGAAGAACTTATCACTCAGAATTAACCTAGCTTTTTCCCACCCTTCTCATATCTTAAGAAAAAAAAAATCTTTTCCAGAAAACACAATATAATTCTTTTAATGCATTTATTTACAATGCCTTTCCCTGCTCACAATAATAACCACAGAACCAGCAGCAGCTTTGGAGTTTTCATTCCTGGGATCAGAAGATCTGCCTACAGCAAAATTGTTGCGAGTTTATTTGTTACATTCAGCAGGAGCAAATTACAGACTTTGGTTTTCAGAGGAAACAAAGAAAAGCTACAGGACTCCAAGGAAATTTCACAGTTATTCAAATAACATGCCATTCTGATTACCTGGAGAGGCACACAAAACAGGATATACTTAGGCAGGGACCTCGAGCCAGTTTTTAATCCATTCATGTCTCAAACACATCAATCCAGTTCCAGACCATTAATAAAAGTTGAAATAAAAAGCCACCCCTCTCCTTTCAACAGTGACTCCTTCATTTTCTCTCCAAAAAATGATTGTGTTTTATTACTTCACAGTGGAAACACATCAAGTTGAAGGTTTAGTTGGGTTAATCTACCAATTCTTTTTCCCCCCTTCTCTTACATACTCAAAACCTCAGTGCATTTGCACACATAGGGTTGCCTGTACCTTCGGCCAATTCACTTTATGCAACATTCCACACTAAAATACTCTCTTCCCTGAGGGTACTGATTCCCTTGAGCATCTTCTACATATTTTTGTTCTTAGGGTTGCTTATTTCTTCCACTCTTTCTGCTATTAAAAAAAAAAAACCTTGATTTTTAGATTTAAACTAAGAATACAAAGTCGTGCCTTTAACAGTGGTCCACTTTGGATCCCCAATAAATTCCTCCTGATGTTCGTGAGCCCCACTGGGGCAACTGGTCTGACCTGGCTTTAGCTCAGCTATATGAACAAAAAGTGTCTTTCCATGTTCTACAACATTGAACACAACAACAAGTGTTGTCTGAGACATTTTCTTAATGAGATCAAGGAACATCCGAGCTGTGACAGGCGTCAAAAATGATCATTTTTACTGGAAATTAACTTACTGCAATAAAATTAATGTTTTATTGTGCAGAACGTCTGACACTCAAATTCCTCTTAATGTAATCCTACATCTTTCTTTAACTTTTTGGGAACCAAGACTGTGGGTGGGGCTTATTTTTTAACAAACTTTTCAGAAAGAAAACCCTCCATAACAATCCCAGCCAGATTTTTTTTTTTTTTTTTTTCCCTTCTAAGGCAGAAACAAGAGATTTCCACAGATGTGAGCCAGGGACAAAGTTCACTGTGCAAAAAAAAAAAAAAAATTCGCTGCTCACTCAACACGGACACCAAACCCAGCAGCGTTCTGGTCCTGGAACACCCCCTGGGAAACACCCCCTTTAAGGAAAACAGAACAGAGAGCAAACAAACAAACAAAAAGCAGAAAACGAGCAAACGAGAGAGAAAACAAACAAACAAAAGCACGTGAGGAGCTGCATTCGACCTGAAACAAAATCCTGGGATTGGAGCGATCCCTCCCTCCCTCCCTCCCGGTGCAAACAAACACCGCTCCTAACAATGCACGGGGCAAACGCAATCCCTCAGCCCCAGCAGGTCTCCAGGGCAATCCCTGCTCCGCCACAACACGCTACGGGAGGAGCGGCAAAGATGGGGTTATTTATTGGTGTAATAAAAAAAAAAAAATTAAAAAAAAAACAAACAAAAAAAAAAACAACAACAAAAAAAAAAAAACTAAAAGAGGCACCTGAGCGGCCGCGGTTCGGCTCCGCTCGGCTCCGTTCGGTTCGGCTCTTTTCGGCTCCGTTCGGTTCGGTTCGTTTCGGCTCCGTTCGGTTCGGTTCGGTCCGGCTCTTCTTGGTTCAGTCCGGCTCTTCTCGGTTCGGTTCGGCTCTTCTCGGTTCAGTTCGGCTCCGCTCGGCTCGGTTCTTTTCGGCTCCGTTCGGCTCCCCCCCCACACACCTCAAAGGCCGGCGCGCTCGGGGCTGTAAACACTGCCCAGCTGAGCGCCGGCCGCGCCACTGCGCACGCGCGGCTCGCACCACCGTGGCGGGTGAGGGGGGTGGCGCGTGGAGCACACCACTGCGGTGCCCGGCGGGGGGAGCCGTGCGGGCCGTACCATGCAGGGCCGGGATGGGGGGGGCGCAGGGCTGTACCACTGCGGGGCTGGGGCCGTGCGGGAGCCCCAGGGATGGAAATAAAAATTGCTGTGGGAACGGGTTGATATTCTTAATTTTGAGCCTGTGAAGCTGAGTTACAGGCTTGGTGTTTGTTTGTTGGTTTGGTTTTTTTTGCTGCAACTGTAAATGCCAGGTATGAATTTACTGAGGAGTAAGTGAGATGTAAATTCACCTGATGCCAGGGGGCTGGGACTTGAAGGAAACCTGGAGTATTGTAACACTCCACAA